GCTCGGGCAGTAGGGACACAATAGTAAGCCAAGAAGATGAAGTCCCGGGTCTTCTGGGGCTGACCTGCTAACAGAGGACAGACAATAAACAAGTAAACAAAGAAACGAACAAGGCACTTTGTGGAGGCGGTAAGTGCTGTGCTGTGATGTGGAGAGACCTGCGTGGGTGGTAAGAGGGAATGAGGACGCTTTAGAGACAGCGGTCAGGCAGGTGCCTTTCAGAGGTGACCTCACTTGAAGCCAGCGCTTGAAGTTTGAGAAGTTGTCCATCAACCCAAGGTCTGAGGAAGAGGCTTCCGTGCTTCCCTGGCCATGGCAGGCGTCTGGATTTCGGTGTAGGTGTAAGGGAAGGCTAAAGAGTGATGTGGTCCAGTTTATAATTTAGAACTATCATTCTGGCTGCTCTTCTGTGGGAGAGTGGGTCACAGGGGCCCGAATGGAAGCAGAAAGGTAAGTTAGGGGACAGGATGGTGGCTAGGCCTGGGGTGACCACAGTGGGGACAAAGAAGGTGAGCAGAGATAGAGCCCAGGGACTCAGCAAGGATGGGATGGGGTGGGAGGTGGGGAAGAGAAGGTCCTCTGGTGTTGGTCCTACACCTTTTACTTGAGCAGCTGGGTTGGTGGTGGTACCTTTTACTGAAAATAGGAAGAACAGGTTTTGGGTCAAGAGTTCTGTTTTGGCTGTAAGCTTCAGAGGTCTATTGGATATCCACATGGAGATTTCAGGGTAGAGGTCAGGGCTGGAGGTACAGACTTGGCGTCTGAAGAGATAACATACACAGGACACTTGAAGCCATGGGCCCAGAGAAAACCACAGGGAGAAGGTGCTGGTATGGAGCGGAGAAGTATGTTGACCCAACAGTCTGGCAGAGAAATAGGAGAGATCAGCAAACACGGCAAACCCACAGGCAGGGGGATGTTGGGAGTGGCGTCATAGCAGATGAGCGAAGAGAGTGAGATGCTACTGACCAGCTGGGCCGGAAGCAGCTGAGAGATCGAGCAGGAAGAAGATGGAAAAATGATTAGCTCGAGGGGAACTCTGTTTCAAGGAGGGGTATGCATTCTTGAACACTGTAGTGGAATTTTACCCTTTTGGGGGGCATGTCCTTTAAATCTCTTTTACTGCACAGAGGACCAAGGAGGCTCTTTGTTCAGATGGGAGACCCAGAGCACATCTGCACCCAGTGAAGATGGCTCACTGGAAGGGAGGGGTGTGGGGAGCTGCAGGGGAGAAGCCTGAGGGAGTGTGCTTCAGAGAACACGCAGGAGCAGAAGAGGTGGCCTGTGTTGGCAGGGGGACCCTCCACTGTAATGGGAAGGAGGACAGAATATGAGTTGGGCAGGTAGGTAGATTTGGAGTTCTCACACACACACACACACACACACACATAAAGAGGAGGTGTGGCCATCGCCTGGCTCCTCCACAAGGGACACTCACAGCCATGGAAAGTCGCCAGGACCCTCAGCCTCTCCATCTCCTGTCTTCACCGGACTCTGCCTGACAATTACACTTCTCCCAGTAGCCTTCTTGGGCAAGGACGTCACCTGCACTCCCACCCCACGCACAGCAGGGGAGGTAGAGTGTACATCCTTCTTACGCTCCTTCTCCCAAACCATTCATTTTTCTTAATACAAACAAATACAAATAAAACTCCAGGACTTGGCACATCACAGATGTTTAACCAGTAGTTGTTTTTAAAAAAACAACCCTGCCCTTTTTTAAAAAAATTATTTATTTATTTTTAGAGAAGGGAAGGGAGGGAGAAAGAGAGAGAGAAATATCAATGTGTGGTTGTCTCTCATGTGGCCCCCACTGGGGACCTGGCCTGAAACCCAGGCATGTGCCTGACTGGGAATCGCACTGGTGACCATTTGGTTTGCAGTCTGTGCTCAGTCCACTGAACTACACCAGCCAGGGCTAACCCTGCCTTTTTAAGGTTGGTCCATTCAACTATACCACCTCCTCCTCTTGGTCATAGGCTTGTCTATCCTGACTGTTGCCACCACCCTGGGGGGGGAGGGAGAAGCTTCATCTTGGTCTTGCAATTTGACATCCTCGATTCAAGAGAAATTCTCTGATCCTCTCCAGTCACCACCGTGAGGGCCCCGTCTCAGACTGGTCAGAGCTCCCCTCCCCTGCCTTCGGAGGGTGTGAGCAGAAGCTGAGTGTGGTATTCTCTCCCTCAGCCTCCACTCCATGGACGGAGGGAGGGTGTGAAATAGCTCCCCCAGGGGACAGTCATTCCATATGCATTCTCTATATCCCAAGTTACACGAAGACTATTTTGCAGTGCCTGCTGAAAAAAGAATTCAACAGACATTTCTTGGGCACCTGTTATGAGTCCGGCATGTTTGAACTAAGTTGAGGTACAGAGCTTCACCGAGCTCACACGAGCTCACAGCAAACCAAACAGGCAGCGATGAAGCTTCGCGCTCTGCCTGCCACAGTGGTTCGTGTCACACAGTAAACACAGAGGGACTCCAAATTGGGCCCAGTGTGAGAAGTTGATCTAGTTCTAACCCAGGAGGGGCTGGTTCATCAGCACCAATGCAGCTAAGCCATTTTTCATAAATTTGTTCAACAAACTTCTGCTGAGCGCGCATTATGTCCCAGGCCCTGAGCCGGGAAGAGAAATGAGTCAGACCTGGTCCCTGCCCTGACGTTGCTCACGGGGCTGGAAGAGAAAGGCACACAGGCAAGTAGTCACTAAAGGTGTGTGAGCAGTGCTCACTCACTGCTCACTCATTCGTTCAACAAACATGGATGGAGGGCCCAGCATGTGCCCTCCATCCATGCTGAGGACGTAAGGGCAAAAACTACGTGAGTGGCTCTGAAATTGTGCACAGTCTTCATAAAGGGCAGTTACCACTCTGGAGATAACTTCACCAATGGAGCAGGTACTAGAGGGGAGGAGGGTAAAGTGTGGAAGGAGGGCTGACATTTGGGCAGGGGTGGAAGGCAGGTTAGGGAAGACCTTAGAGCAGAAATGCTTAAGCTGAGAAGAGATGGTTGAGTGGGCGTGGTCACGCCTGCCATGTGGAAGTGGGGCTGGGGGAGGGAGGTCTCACTGCCACCCCATTTTCTCTCCTTAGGGCTTTGATGAAGCTTTCCCAACATGTCACTACCACACCGCTCCCTTGGCCCAGTGCCAGCAACAAGCTTCTGACCTCAGGTGCCTCCACCACTCCATCCCTCACTGGCAACTCCTCCCCAGCTAGAGATTCTGCTCCAGCTGGTGATGCATTTCAACACAGCGTTCTCAACATACAAGGTCCAGCCCTAGATGGTGTGGCTCAGTGGACTGAGTGCCGGCCTGCAAACCAAAGGGTCGCTGGTTCAGTTCCTAGTCTAGGCACATGCCTGGGTTGTGGGCCAGGTCCCCAGTGGGGGGCATGTGACCACACATTCATGTTCCTCTCCCTCTCTCACACTTTTCCTCTCTGTCTAAAAATACATAAATAAAATCTTTTCTTTATTTTAAAAAAAGGTCCATATACCCACACATGCCTGCAGGGGTCAAACAAATAAAAATTGACAAGGCTGCCGAAGGAAAAATATGACTGACATTTGATTTTGACACTGCCTCCAAAAAATAGTCAATATTGAAAGTGAGCCTTCCCACCTTCGTTGATCTTCTGCAGGATCTCCCTTGAACACCTGAACCCCAGCACCTGCCTGCTCCGCTTCCCCTCCCAGACTTCCTGGACCGGGGCCCAGCCTGTCCAGTGTGCGCTAACGTTGTACGGATGCCCAGATCGTTCCTTCGGCCCTGCCCATTCCCCCTTCCCTACGCCACCTCACTCTCCACACCCACGCGGTTCTGGCCTCTGCATTCGGCTTGATCAATACATTCCCATTTTGTTGTATGAACAGCCCAAAAGGCTTCCCAGCTGGCCTCCCCGCTCAAGTCTCCCTGGGGCTCTGGCCCACCTAGCACACCACACCCCGGGCCATCTTCCTGCGGTGGTGCTTTCCCTGTGCGTTCACCAGTTCATGGTTCCCTTTGCAGTGGCCCCATGCTGCCTGCTGGAAAGAGTGCCCACTACTCCATCTGGCAGTCAAGGTGCTTCACAGTCTGGTCCTGGCCTACCGTTCTAGGTCTTCCTGGACCAAGCCTCCACTAAGTGATCTACCCAGCATTCCCCACACACACCTGGCATTTCCCAGTGCCTAGGCCTTCACTCATACCACTGCCCTTTCCAGAGTGCGCTCCTCCGCTCCTTTCTACTTTCCTAAATCTTCCCCACACTCTGAGACTCAGCTCAAACACCACTTTCTCAACAACTTTTTCCTCTGAATGAGCCTTCCTGCTGAAAACAGAATCTCTCTTCTAAATCACTAAAGGAACAGGGAAGTAAATAACATCCTGTAAAAACCTGCCATGTGCTATATGTGAAAAGCATATGCTTTGGAGCCAGACGGATCTGGTTTGTATCTGATTAGCTGGGTAACCTCGGAAAGCATAATCTCTGTGCTTCAGTGCTTTAGCTTGAAAAACACAACAACATTTACCCCCACCATCTATCCCCTGGGATATTCAAATACCCAGTATGTGCTTGGCCTTGCATTCCTGTGGTTATTTTGAGAACTATTTGAAATGATGCATGGAAAGTTGCTGGCACATAGGGGTACTCAAGAAATAAAAACTTACTAATACTGCCATCACCTGATTAAGTTTCTTAGAAGAAGGACAGTCCTCAGGGAGATTTCTGTTGGGAGGGGAAGCATGACATGACTGGGAACCAGAGCCAGCTCTGCACCAGGCAGGTTCTAAACAACCATTAAAGCACCATATTGTTGATTTGAAGTATAGAATGTGACTGTTACTTTCTGGATAACCTTGCCCATCAACACTGAATCACCACCTTCCACCTGCCAAGGCTATCCAGGATACTCAGCAAGGCTCTTGGTGAACAGGAGGGAAATTTTAAGGGCCAATGTGCCTTAGCTCTCGCTGCCACCTGCTGTGCGGCGGAGCAGGCCCGGCTGCCTCCCTTACCTTCACACTGGACTTCCAGGTGCATCGTGCGCAGCACATTCAGCACACAGTCCACGATGCTGGGGTGTGTGCTCCCGATGATCGGCTGGCAAGACAAACAGGAAAAGGCGGTTACTCCTCACATCTTGTCCATCTGGGAGGGATGAAAAGCAGCCTGGTAAACGGTGAGAGTGAGGGCAGCCAGGAGTCACTGGGCCCCGGCCCGTGAGAAGAGGGCGGAGATGGGCAGAGATGAGAAGCGACTGGGAATCTGCTGAGGTTACCACTGAACCCCTCAGCTCAGGGGGCGTTCGGTTGAGGCCAGCTAGTCACCTGCTGGGGGTGCAGGGATGAGTTGGCTACCTTGCGTAGGGGAGGGAGGGCGGGCACACAGCAGGGAGGGTGGGAAGATCCCGAATCTTCTCTCCCTTGGGAACCTCACCCAGTCAGGGAACCCCGCCTTCCTACGTCTTCCACCTTCACCCACACATTGGTTCCTGTCCTCCAGCGTGAAACACCCTCTCGCCCACCCAGACTGAACAAAACTGTCCTTCAACTCTGTCTTCACTTGCTATTGCTCTTTTTGCCCTTTATTCCTGAGCTTCCCAGGGGAAGCCACTTCTTCATCCTCTGACAGGCTGCTGCAATTTAATGTTTCCTGCCATAGGGAAGTCCCCTAGTTCACCAAACTTTTCCTGCTGGGACCCTCTTTCAGCTCTCCCTGTGCTTTATCTCTCTGTTGTATTTGGCCCCGCAGATCACGTTACTGATATAAGCAGATCCTCCTCATTGAGTGTTCTTTCCCCTTGATCATCACAGCCTTGTTTTTTTCCTGTTTTCCTTTTATGGCTTTCATTGTTCTTTCTCAAAGAGGCAGAGTGGATGTCAAAAGAATAAGGACTCTACAGTTAGAGAAAGTGGATTTAAATTCCCACTTAGCACAGTAAATACCCCTTACTTAGTGTGTGGCCTTGAATAAGAAAACACCCCCCAAAGGCTCAGTTCCATCATCTTCAAAATGGGGATAGTAACACCTGCCTCCCCTCCATCAGTTATTGTGAAGACAAAAAGAGAGGACCTCTGGCCAAGATGGAGGTGTAGATAGACACACTGTACCTCCTCACACAACCAAAATAAGGACAACGACAATTTAGACACAAAAAAACAACCAGTACTGACAGAAAACTGAACTGTATGGAAGTCCGGCAACCAAGGAGTTAAAGTAGACACATTCATCCAGACCCATAGGAGGGGTGGAGTCAGGCGGCCCGGTGGAGAGGGGTCTGACAAAAAAAAAAAGCGGTGGCTGGCAGACCCTGGGCATGCAAGGTGGCTGGAGGACCGGGCAGTCCCACATTTGCACGCAGATAAACCAGGTGAAACTGCAGAGTGAGACAGACCACGCAACCCAGGGTCCCAGCATCGGGAAATAAAGCCTCAAAACACCAATTGAAAACACCTGCGGGGGTTGAGGTCCTAGGAGAGACTCCCAGCCTCACAGGAGAGTTCGCTGGAAAGACCCACAGGGTCCTAGAATGTACAAACCCACCCACATGGGAATCAGCTCCAGAAAGGCCCAGTTTGCTTGGGGGAAGCGGCAGAAGGGACTGGAATCTGGCAGAGAGTGGAGCAAGTGCCATTGTTCCCTCTCGGACCCCTACCCTACATGTAGTGTCACAACCCAGGGACTGAGTTGACCCGCCCAGGTGAACACTAAGGCTCCACCCCTCACTACATAACAGGTGCATCAAGACAAAAAGAAAAAATGACCCAAATGAAAGAACAGATCAAAGCTCCAGAAAAAATACAACTAAGTGATGAAGAGATAACTAACCTATCAGATGCACAGTTCAAAACACTGGTAATCAGGATGCTCACAGAATTGATTGGATTTGGTCACAAATTGGATGAAAAATGAAGGCTACGTTAAGTGAAACAAAGGAAAATGTACAGGGAACCAATAGTGATGGGAAGGAGACTGGGACTCACATCAATGAAGTGGACCAGAAGGAAGAAAGAAACATCCAACCAGAAAAGAGTGACTAAACGAGAATTCAAAAAAATGAGGAGAGGCTTAGGAACCTCCAGGACATCTTTAAACGTTCCAACATCCACATTACAGGGGTACCAGAAAGAGAAGAGGAAGAGAAACAAGTGGAAAAATTATTTGAACAAATAATAAAGGAGAACTTCCCCATTCTGGCAAAGGAAATAGACTTCCAGGAAGTCCAGGAAGCTCAGAGAGTCCCAAACAAGTTGGACCCAAGGAGGAACATACCAAAGGCACATCATAATTACATTACCCAAGATTAAAATGAAGGAGAGAATCCTAGAAGCAGCAAGAGATAAGGGGACAGTAACCTACAAAGGAGTTCCCATCAGACTGTCAGCTGACTTCTCAAAAGAGATCTTACAGGCAAGAAGGGGCTGGAAAGAAGTATTCCAAGTCATGAAAGACAAGGACCTATATCCCAGATTGCTCTATCCAGCAAAGCTTTCATTTAGAATGGAAGGGCAGATAAAGTGCTTCTCAGATAAAGTCAAGTTAAAGGAGTTCATCAACACCAAGCCCTTATTATATGAAATGTTAAAGGGACTTATCTAAGAAAAAGAAGATCAAAAACACGTATAGTAAAATGACAGCAAACTCAGAATTATTAACAACCACACCTAAAACAAAAACAAAAAGAAACTAAGCAAACCATTAGAACAGGAACAGAACCACAGAAATGGAGATCACAGGGAGGGTTAGCAACAGGGGAGTGGATGGAGGAGGGAGGGGGAAAAGGTACAGAGAATAAGTAGCATAGATGGTAGGTAGAAAATAGACAGGGTGAGGGCAAGAATAGTATGGGAAATGTAGAAGCTAAAGAACTTCTGACACAGGGACATGAACTAAGGGGGGGAATGTGGGTGGGAGAGGGTGTGCAGGGTGGAGGGGAGTGAAGGGGGGAAATGGGACAATAATTGATTATGCTTAATAGCATAATCAATAAAATATATATTAAAAAAAGACAAAAAGAGAGAGTGTAGCCCTAGCTGGTGTGGCTTAGTGGATTGAGCATCGGCCTGCGAACCAAAGGGTCGCCAGTTCGATTCCCAGTCAGGGCACATGCCTGGGTTGCAGGCTAGGTGCCCAGTAGGGGGGGCACGTGAGAAGCAACCACACAATGATGTTTCTCTCCTTCTCTTTCTCCCTCCCTTCTCTGTCTAAAAATAAATAAATAAAATCTTTAAAAAGAGAGAGAGAGAGAGAGAGAGAGAGAGAGAGAGAGAGAGAGAGAGAGAGAATAAGTAAACCCCTAACACAGTGCCTGGCATATAGGAAGCACTTAATAATGGAACTGGAAATAATAATGATAATCAGATCTGTCTGCTGGACTTTTTTCCTCAGTGCATCTGTTTAATGTGGTAGTGTTCCTTCTGTTTTCACTTCGTATATTTTACATGGGGATCTTATTTACTTTCATGGTTTCAGCTTCTCTGCTCATGAAAATTTAAACTGCCATCCTCATCTTGGGTCTCTCTCTGGAGCTGCAGCCTTTTATTTTCTACTGTCCAAAAGGCATCTCTACTAGATGTCCTGAACAGTGATTCCTCACTGAGCTAAGAACCGGAATGACTTGGGGAGCTTAAAAAGAAAAAGCATAACAAAAGGTGCCTGAGAGCTGTCAGATCCTATAGGAGGGAGGCCCAGACTTTAGTATCTTTTATCTATCTATCTATCTATCTATCTACCTACCTACCTACCTATTAATTTATTTTTAGAGGGAGGGGAGGGATGGAGGAAGGGAGGGAAACATCAATTGGTTGCTTGTCGCATGTGCCTTGATTGGACTGAACCCATAACCCAGGCATGTGCCCTGACTGGGAATTGAACCGGCAACCTTTCGCTTTGCGGGATGACATCCAACCAACTGAGGCACACCGGTCAGGGCAGAATTAAGTATCTTTTCAACAAGTGACCTACCTGTATCTTCTGTAACCAGCTTGGCCTGCTCCTCAGACAGGAACCTGGGAGCCACTGAAGCTCATGAAGTTTATCGAATCAAAACCTAACTCTCCAAATCAAATAGGTTTTTCCTACTCTTACCATGGTACACGGCTCACCCTGCTAAGTTCAAAGCTGGCTGTTGTCTTTGCCTCCTTTGCTTTTGCTGCCTCCAAAATGTCTGTCCAGCCTGCAATCATCGCCACAGTTCAGGCCTTGTCATCTCTTGGATCTCTTAATTATCCCCCTGCCTCCAGCCCAAACTGGAACTGTTTTGAGAGCTTTTGATGGTTCACCTTGAAACCATTCTTCGAGTCTCTAATTCCCTCCTTACCAGGTATGGTGCCTTCATGCAGTCACCATGCCCCAAATCTGACTTTGCTCACATTCCAGGGCACCGTCTGAGAGAAAGGCAGAAGCCAAGAAAAAAAAGGGAGTTTTCCCCAGCACTGGAGATCTGGTCTTCACTTACACGCTGTCTACAAGTGCACCATGATTCTTTCCCTATCAAATTGACTCCTTTAATCTTTTCTACAGTCCTTTCATCATCCTTGTTGTCTGTCTCAGGTACTTTTAAGTCTGTCAACATCTTTCTGATCCTTAAGTAAACAGGACAAGTCGCTCTGATGGGAGATGTGACCTCTCTGCCCTGCCTTGGCCTCCTGGAGGCAACACTGACTGAACAGCAGACAGGCAGTGGGAGGCTGGGCTCTGTCTCTCCTGCCTGCGTGGAGTGCAGCCGTGGAAGGTAATTGTAAGATTACTGTGTGTGAATCGGGACCACAGGAGCGTGCAGCCTGGGCTCACCTGGGCAGTCCTGAGGGTCTGCAAGGACAGCTGCTGAGCTTTCGGGGACGTGCAGGGCAGCAAAGCTATTAGACCTTTGTACACTTGATTCTGGTACTTGGGGTTGCCGTGGAGCAAAGAATCCAACAGAACTTGCACTTCCTCCTGGGTCTCTTCTGACTTACACTTTGCCAAAAATTCTGCTATGGACCGTACACCTGAACAAAGAAGAGAGGAAATGCTAAATTGGAAGGGATTTAGGATAACAATCCCCATTCAAGATTATATAACCTGGGGTAATAGGATTAAGATGTATTTAACCAAGCCCGTTCAGCCAAAGCAAAATTGAGGCTTAGTCTCATGCTGCATCCCTGTCTTGTTTACCACGGGCTATGCGGCTGAAGGATTTTGTTTCTGCATAGGCATCTCAGCTTATCAAACTGTTTTAAAATTTAAAATGGCTCTGCAAAATGCACAAAGAACATGCGTTTTTTTTTTATTGTCATGTGATAACTAACACATGCACAGTGCTCAGCTGTTCACAAAATGTCTTGACAAATACCACATCATTGAATCCCAGAGACTGTACAGTGAGGGAGTGTTCACCCCATTTTACGCACAGATACTGAGGCTCACAGAGGCCATGGGGGCCACTCAGAGAGCCCTGAGTAAAGTGCAATGAGGGAAGCACTTTGGAAAAGGGGTGCAGACAGGATGGTGTCTCCTTCCATGCCTTCATCAGAGCCCTTGAGCTATCGTACTGGAGACCCTGGGCTACTCACCTTTCTCACCACACTGTAAGTGCTTTGAGGACAGGGGCTGTATTTTCTTCATCTTTGTGTTCCCAGCACCTTAGCATATACTTAACACTCATATGCAATGATTTCATTTCAGTTATATTTCTAGAGTTAGTCATAATTCAATTTCACAAAGGATTTTAGGCAATGACTCCATAAATCCTTGTTAAATGGATGCATGAAAAATGATATATTTAAAATGGAAAAAGTATTTCCGAAACCACAATGGAAAGATGTGAGCAAATGACAAAACAGAAAAATCATAAATGTGGATGGGAGCTCTTGGAGTCCACTGGACAAAGTCCTTCCGGGGCAACCAGTTCCATGACATGTTTCCTGTAGCAGTACCGGGTGCTGCCACCCTTCACCAGGCCCTGAGGGAGACGCATGCGGTACCCACCATAGCTTTCACAAATGAGCTCCTTGTACTTCCTGCCAGAGTTTGCAATAACCTGAAGTAGCTTGATGGATTCCTTCTTGTCTCCCTCACTGATCTTCTCCAGCGCAAGTATTTCTAGGAGTGTTAGGACGCCTCCAACCTCAAGGAACTCTATGAGGTACCGGTTACTGTCCAGAGGGGTAGAGGAGTAGAAAAAAGACACTTGTCAAGTTCCTTGGCAAAACCTTTCTAAGGGATCTCAAGTTCCTTTCTTTACATACTTTGCCCTCCCACCCAGGAAATGCTCATGGGAAAAGAGACACAATAGTTGGGAAATTCCTTCTGCATTCAGCAGGAAATGCAAACATTCAATACAATGAACATTTCTTGTGTCTGGTTTTCTAGTATCTGTTCTTCTTGTAATAGCACCTTGCCTGTCCCTTGGGGAATCACCCTCCACCGTTCATGAGCCCTGTGGTTCTGGTGAGGTAAGCAGGTGACAGGGTATGTCATCCTTCTGACTGTAGTCACTGGTTTGGGACCGGGTGTGTGACCCAAGTTGGTCCATTGAGGCTCTAAACCCGAGGCTTTCTTGGGAACCCTTGGGAAAGACGTGCTCTCTTTCTGGTGTGGACAAGCTACAGGGATGCATATCTGGAGCTCCAGGGGATCACAGCACAAAGGGCCATCAGTACAGGGGAGAACAGGGCTGAGAATGGAGATAAAGGGAGAGAGAACAAGTACCAATGACGCATTTTGAAGCCCTTGTAGTCAGGCTCGAAATATGGATTCCTACCCTCTGGGCTTGTCAGTTAAGTGAGCTAATAAATTCCCCTTTTCCTGTCCAATATGAGTTCACTTTCTGTATTTCAAAAACAAGAGGATGCTGACTAGTAAAGGGTCAATGGAGGACATGGGATGGAAGAGTAACTAGAACAGAACCACAGCTGATGCCACCTCTGAACCCATCCTGGGTGCTACCAGGTACCCACAGATAACTAGAAGCCCTGGTTCCATGTGGTGTGAATGCCAAGGACACCATGAGCTGGATATGCAAACCTAGAATAGAACTCACCTGCTTACAGCTGATAAGAAGATGCCAATGGACCTTAAAAGCTTCTCTAGGCACGAGCCAGTCATGTAGCTATATGAGAAGTTAAGGAGTGAATTCCGGGGTGGTTTCCACACAGAAACCAGATCATGTGTCTGATCCCTGGCACCACCAATGACCTAGGATGCCCAACAGCTGAACCAAGCCCTTTATCTGAGAAGGGCCTCTAGGTCGAAGGAGAAGGGCTCACACAAGAGGAAGGGGTGTGGGGGTGGCAGGCATGTTCGTGGTTCTCCAGGAAGCTCTGCTGGGGTATTTCTGCCACCTTGGCAGTGACAGGCTCTCTAGAGAGCAAGGTGGCTCTAACGAATAAAGGGTGTGTGGAGAAAGCTGGTGGTCATTTCTCCCAACCTCTCTGTGTCCTGACTGTTGTACTTGTGGGTCTCAGCATAGTTCATTACTTTGTGCCTCATTCTTAGTTTTCTCTAAACATAATCAGCTTCATCATTAACACTCAATTTTGTACTTGCTCAAAGCTTTACACTGGAGGTCACTATTTTTATGAAGAATTGCATGTCTTCCTAATAAGAATAAGAGGAGAGAGTGGAAAAATTAAACTCTGATTTAAAACCACCTCAGTATTTAATGTTATTTTTAATGTGAGCCTTTGCAAAAAGCTTCATTGTAATAAAGCACCCAGAGTGCGCATCAGCTCGGGTATAAGGTATGAAATCAAGCCACAACAGAAAAGGAACCAGTCAACAATTACTAGGCTCATAACACATCACAGGCTCTTAGAACACTTAAGAAATTAGCTGAAATTATTGCAGCTCATGGAGGATGACTGAGAGCTTCCAAGACTGATAAAGGCTAATGTAATGGGTTGGAGGTAATGGTGCTTTGTTGGGGGGGTGGTGCGTGAGGCAAATTATCTCTGCTGCACCCTGGTTCCCAGGATGCCAATAGAAGTAGAGACAGATTGGCTCATTAGGAAAGGCTCTTCCCTTGCACAAAGTGTTTGCTCTGAAGCCAGGCTCCTCTGCCCGTTGCCACTGCAGCTGGAAGCCTGGCAATCAGCTTACACAGTGGTCTCTCTATTCCCACCACGTCTTCCACCCTGCCTCCCCAAACCCCACCCCCACTGCTGCCCCAGTGCATTTCCCCTCTTTTCTTCAGTTACCAGCTAGGCTGACCAACTTTCATCATATTCTTCCTCCTGTCCCAGGCTAGTCCTATTTTCATAGCCACTCACTCATCTGTAATTTTGGTCCAGCATTTCAGCCATTGGTTCCAGAAGTCTACCACAATATCAGTAGTAGCTAACAAGTGCAAAGCATTCATTGTGTGCCAGGCACTGTGCTAACTACAGTGCTTGCACTGTTTCATTGAATGCCCACCACACCCTGCAGTGGGTGCTATTAGTGTTTCATTCACTTTGTGAGGAACAATCTCAGACAGGTTAATGACCTGTCCGAGGACCCAATGTTAACTGATGGAACCAGGATATGAACCTAGAGAGTCTAACTCAGAGTCTGAGTTCTTACAGTCAGGTCTTCCTGCCTGTAGACAGGCAGAGGGTATGTGGCATTTCATGCAGCTTAGCTCCTTCTTAAGTGTTGGTGGTGGAACTGAAGGTCTGAGCTGTCCCCTGGGTGGGAGACAGTGAAGTAGAGTGGATGGCATGTGGGCTTTGGGCCAGAGAGACCCATCAACCTTATCTCTGCCTTTTACTAGTAGATCTACTCAACTTTTTAAAGGCTCATCTTTCCTGTCTATAAGATGGTATAATACCAATCATTTATTAGGCTTGGTGTTAGGCTCATATAAGATAATATTTGTATAGTACATAACTCAGTGACTAGAATAAGACTTAATAAATAACTAATAATTTTGTCATCATAATACACAATCCTTAGTTTCACTCATATATTCTCGAAGTTCAAAGTTAAAAAAGGGGTTTGGGCTTATGTGGGATTATGTGAGAGTTAATTGTGCAAAACACGATGAGGTTACATTGACTTGTTTTCCTTCAAAAGCCACTGCGACTGGGGGGCTGGGGAGAAGAAGTGGGGCTGCTGATTCAAAACACTATGTCACTCAGCTGGTCTATTTTCTCTGTTGTACGACAAGGTCACAAAAAGTTAGGAAGTTACGGATAATTTCAGGTGTAGAAACTGAATATACATCTGTGTATTAAAATGTGGTTAATTTAGTCATTCAATAAGCCCTCTGATGGGTACTTAGGATACGAAGAAGAATGCGGGTAGTAACAGCGATGGTTGAGCAAGAAAAGAGAAGGGCTGAGTGCAGAATTCTTGGGAACGCTCACATTTAAGGGGTGGTAGGACAGATCCTGCAATAGTGACTGAGAAACAGAAGTGGAAGAAGGTAGAGGAGAGAGAAGAGCTTAAGAAGGGGCAGTGGTCAGAGCCCTGGCGGGGTAGTCCACTTGGTTAGAGCATCCTCCCAATACACAAAAAATAAATATAAATAAAAAAATAGATTAAAAAAAAAAGAATCAGTGATGCTTTGAGGATGCTTTGAACTGTCCAGATTCTTCTTTTGTACCTCCCTTCACTCCCAGATCAAGGACATACAAGGTCAGATTCACTGGCATCCCTGAACTTAAAAAAGAAGAAGGGACAGTGGTCAGGCAGGGTCGGGGGTAGGGTAAGGCGGGTGAAGCACTTGATTCAGTATAAAACTTAAGGGGACACCAGAAAAACTCACTAATCAAATAATATCTCAAGGTACTATTAAAAATTAAACATTAATATAAAAATCCATGATAAATACAATATCAAAGTTTTAAATAAAGATAGGATGTAATTCTGCACCTGTGTGATTCTGCCTCACACACTCCCTGCTGTGGTCAAATGGAAAACATCGTCAAGTAAGATAATGAGGGAAAGGGGCACTCTAGAGGGTGTTTCAAGATTTGGTGTCAAGGAGGTTGGTGAGGGTCGTGTCCTGAGTTGTGGGGACAAAGCCAGATTACAGGTGCTGATGTTTCTCAAAGCATCATCTGTGAAGCACCAGCATCAGAGTCACCCAGAATGCTTGTGAGAAATAAAGAGCCCAGGGACCCTCCCTCATTCTACTAAATCAGGACCTCAGGGTGGGTGGTGGGAGGCAGACTGGCAATCTGCATTTGAAACCTTTTCATTGCACACTAACATCTGAGAACACTGGGGCCCGCCTAGCAACCTGTTCAGCGGTATTCCCTTCCACCTGTGTTCCAGGCCTGAGTCTGATGGATAAGTTCACCAGGGATTTAACTGTAAGAAAAAGAGAGCTGTGTGGACTGAGCTCTGTGTAGCTGCAGACTCTCCGGGTTTATTCTTTCCTTTATGGAGCAAATGTGTGTTAAGCACCCATTATGTGTTAACCACACGTTGTGCCAGCGGTTAGAAATACAGAGATGAGTAGAGCAGATGCAGTCCCTGCCCTCATAGTGTTTGCAGTCCAGTGGGGAACAGATCTTAAGCATGTAATAAAAATAAAATGTTACGACCACTAAGACTGAAGAAGTGCCATGAGGATATGTAACAGGGAACCTAAGTTAGTCTGGGGCTCAGAAAAGGATTTCATGGACAGAGTGATGGTTAAACTGAGATCTGAATAATGGAGTAGGAATTAGTCAAATAGAGGGAGTTTAGAGGAGTAGGAGGGTTCAGGGAAAGAGAAAAATGTTTAATGACATGGTCTGAGAGGAACCCAGAGTGTGATGGGCATACAGAGCAGGAATATGCTCAAATCCACCCAGATCTCAAACTAACGCCTTGATGGTGACACATGTATCTTCAGTCCCAGTCTGCCTCTAGGGCTCCCGAGCACAGGCACCTAAACTCAGCACGTCCCAGACCAAACTCACTCCCCTTCTTGCATTCTCTCTTCACAGAATGGCACCCCATTCACTGAGTGTCCCCAAGCCAGAAACACAAGTCATCCTGGCGCATGTAGGTGGAGCTGGGAGTTGGGTAAAAGGACATGGAGTTCAATTCCAGAGATAGATGTGCGCAGGGTGCACATTTGAGGGTCTTTACACTGGGATGGTGTAGACAGTGGATGAGATCACTCAGGGAGAGTCTGAGAGTGAGCAGAGAAGGGGGGGTGGATGGAGTCCCAAGTAACAGCAACATTTAAGGGATGGCGGAAGAAATGGAATGAGCAGGAAGGAGAAAAGCAAGAGAAACCAAGGGAAGAGCGTTTTAAGAAGTGGGAATGGGTGACTGACCAATGCACCTGAAAGGTCACACATAAAGACAATGAGGAAGTCACCGGTAACCTTGGCAAGTCCTGCAGAGTGGAGAGGAGGGGACGGAAGTCAAACTGCATTGGTGGTGGAGAAAAGAGAGGTGGGGAAGTGGAGACAGAGACCAATAACCTTTTCTAGAAAGAAGCTTCACCACAAAGTGAGAGAGCTGGGAGGAATACAGGTTTGAGACAGGGATTTAATTAAGGTGGGAGAGACCTGAGCAGACACGCACGCTGATGAAAAAAGCTGGTAATGATGGAAAGGTGGGAACTATAGGAGAGAAGGAATGAAGTCCCTGGGAAGGCGGGAGGGGACTCAAGTGCAGTCCCCATAGAGGACTGGCTCTAGACAGGAGGAATCCCAACTGCGACTCTGATGGGTGCCAAAGAGGTTAGGAGTGAGAATAAGGATACATCTGCAGGCTGGAACGTCAGGAAGTTGAGGGAATTCTTGACTTTTGGGATGATATTTTGATCACCAGATATCCTGTTCTAAAATCACAGAATGGAGAGAAGAGTTCCCTCAGTAATCTCCCCCTTTTTCCTATTGAATATGGCCTATTTTTTTTTTTTTTTTCTGTTTAGCCAAGGATACGTGAGTCTGAGCCAGGTGGTCAAGCGCACCAGGAACAAGCTGGCTCCCTGGGAAAACTCCTGCTCCAGTTCAGGGCCAGTCTTGCCTTGGTTGATTTCAATGAAATTGTTGAGGATATGAGTCCTTGAGACTTTTCCAGCATTGTCCCAATCCTGTAAAAAACTCAAGAGCCGGCTAATTGCTGCCTGCTCCTTTATAGAAGTCATGATCGATCAGTCCTGAATTTGGCTACAGAGGGCAGGAAAAAAGACAGGTTACCAAAATGTTTAGAAACATGCAGGTCCTGTAGGTTACGCTAGGGGTTCTGCTTTTCTAGCAGTCAGCTGGAAGCTGGTGAGCCTCCGTCACCCACATGGATACAGTGACATTCGAAATACATCTCTACAACAGGTCGCCTGCTACTCGAACAGAGAATATCTAGCTATGTTGTCACGGAATTAAGAATGTCAGGGTAGTAAATGCCTGACTCAAGTGTAAAGGCTAAAATTTTAGCTCTTTGGCTTCTCTGCTGATCCCAGCAACTAAAAGAACCACAGGCTCCAGCTGAGATGAAGGCGCTTGCTAAAGACCTGGGCCTCTCTTATCCCTCACTTCACACAGGGTCAGAGATTTGGGGTCTTTAGGGACCTGGCCTATCAGCCAATCAGCTAAGGTAAAGCACCCCTTAACCTAGTTCCTTGGACTTTCGTACCAACTCTTTTAAAAACAACTTTTTAAAAAAGTTAGCAGGAACAAAAAGTTCCCATTCCATAGTTGGATTAATGGGCTGTGGTTTGTAGGAGGCTGTGTCCTTGGGAGAATGTTTTCAGTGGGGGGAGGGAAGGTTTAAAATAAACCCGTTTTCCAAAAATAGTTGTGATTGAAAGTGTTATTATCCATAACAAATGTTAGTGCTGATGGGAGAGAGGCATGTGTGATTCCTTTGTCTAACAGACAAGTGAAAGTCATATTTCACATTATCATGGGGTTTTCTGTGATTTACAGAATATTTGTGAAACATTACTTGCAGTGGCCATGATTGATATGGAGAGAACAGCTTGTGTGTGGGGGAGATGTGTATTTCACGAAGACGGTTCAACATGAAATTTACAGTCCCATAAAGTGCTTCTACATCTTTGCCAGAGATCTAGTTAAAAGGACTTTACAGTCTGAAACATCCTAAAATTGATTCTAAATTAACGTTTCCTCACATGTATTTGAGATATTGATGGGGCCCAGCTATCAGAATTTTATTAGGAAGCAATAATCTGAAGCATGCTGAGACAGACATACATACACACCGACCTCCGCTACTCCCCAGAGGACACTAGATATGTGCTCCCAGGAAGGGCGTCACGTAGCCTCTGGGACAGACACAGCCACGAACTCCTGTCAGCCTGAGCAGCCAGATGAATAACTGTGGATCAACCTAAACACAAAAATGACCAAAAGCTTTCATGGGATCATGCATCAATCACTGCAAATAACATTACAGCCCTAAGTCTGAGAATAACTCTCAGAGTCCATGGCCATCTTCAACAGCCAAACTGGCCTCAAGAAAAGGGGAATGAGTGGCTGTTCTGGACCCAGGGAGGAAGGGTTGAAACATCCCCATTAGCTGTATCTGGCAGGAAAGCACCCTGTACCCCAGCCCTGCTGTGGATGGACCCATTCTAGGATCAAATCTGAGTGCTACCGGAGATGCGCCCAGCAATTCTAGGACACCAAGAGGGGGAAACTTTCAGTGGGATATTCCATATTATGTCTGCTTATAGATCTTAGTCTTCCCCATCTTCTTCTTTTTAGATTTTATTTATCTATTTGTTTTTAGAGAGAGGAGGAGGGAGAAACAGAGGGAGAGAAACATCAGTGTGTGGTTGCCTCTTATGCTCCCCCTATGGAGGACCTGGCCTGCAACCCAGGCATGTGCCCTCACTGGGAATTGAACCAGGGACCCTTTGGTTCTCAAGCTGGCACTCAATCCACTGAGCCACACCAGCCAGGACCCTATTTTTTTTAATAGAAAAAACCCCCAACAAATGGCAGCATTGAAGGGCGCAGCGATATAGCTCTAAGTCAGTGAGTATGTAGTGAAGGCCCCTCACCGGGCACTGTGCAAGGTGCTGTGGGAGATGTGGAGATGGATGTGGTGCTCCAAGTGCCCTTGAGGAACTCCAGTTCTTGTGGTAGAGTGGAAGAACGTGAGATGTGACGTGAGACTGGGTTCAAGGTCCAGCTTCCCACTCGCTATTTAGTAAAACATCAATACTACCTGCCTTATCCCTTGCCATCCTCCAGTCTCAATCCAGAGGCAGCCCCTTTCAACTGTTTTGGCTATTTCTTCTGGTGTTTACCTCTGCATTTCCAAATAATGAGCTTATGCTACTTGGTATGAGTGGAACTGTGTTCCCCTTCGCCCTCTAACCCCCAGTACCTCAGAATGTGACTATATTTAGAGAGAGGGTCTTTTTTTCCTTTTAAAGGATTTTATTTACTTTTATAGAGGGAAGGGAGAGAGAGAGAGAGGGGAGAGAGAGAGAGAGAGAGGGGAGAGAGAGAGAGAGAGAGGGAGAGAGAGAGAGAGAGAGAAACATCAGTATGCAGTTGCTGGGGGCCGTGGCCTGCAACCCAGGCATGTGCCCTGACTGGGACTCAAACCTGCGATGCCTGGTTCGTAGGCTGCGCTCAATCGACTGAACTACGCCAGACAGGGCCTAGAGAGCTGGGGCGGGGGCAGGGGGGTGGCGGGGGTGGCGGGGGGTGTGTTTAAAGAGGTAATTCAGTTAAACTGAGGTCATGTGGGTGGACCCTAATCCAATATAAGATTAGCGCACAAACACATACAGAAGGAAGACCATATGAAAACAGAAGGCAGCCATTTACAAATTGGAGAAGAAGCCAACCCATAGCACCTTATATCGAACACCTGGATCAGAGTCTCCAAATCTGTGAAACAGTAAGTTTGGTTTTTCTTTTTATTATTTTTTTCTTTCTCTCCTTTTCTTTTCTTTCTTTCTCTTCCTTCCTTTCTTTTGTATTTTTTAATTTTAATTGTTGTTCCAGTACAGTTTTCTGTTTTTTACTCCCATCCCTGCCCACCCAGTTTCTGTTGTTTAAGCCACTCAGTCCGCGGTACTTTGTTTTGGGAACCCTAGCAAACTAGCACTTTACTATTATCTATCAATTTTAGGCAATAAATACATTCTGGCAGTTGAGGACTTAGCTCTCTTACACCACTCTAACCCCTAGTTTTACTTTCTTATCCTCACAATACTATAGTTTTCCACAATTTATAGTAAAAGGCCAAAGATTTATACAATCTGAAGAGAAACCAGAGTATAACACAATTTATAGTTAAATCAACTTTTAGTGTTTACATTATTGGCCAAGTAAACAAACATTGTGTACTCATGCTGTAACCTATTACATTTTCTTTCTCAAATAAATTGGTTTTACCTGGAGTTAATTTCTTTTTCCAATTGTTTAGTTTTCTGTGTACTGTATTTTGCTGTGTATAACGTGCACCCACATTTTAGCGCTAATACCCATGAATAATGTGCACCCTTCTTTTTCCCTCCAAAATCTGGGCAAAAAAGTGTGCATTATACATGGCAAAATACAGGGTACCTAGAGCTATTTTCTTTCAAATGTTCCAAACACGTAGCAATGATTTTTGCAAATGTTCAACTCTAATTGATCAGTTCCATCTTTCCCTGGAGACCTTTGCTCACTGTCTTCTGTTCTTGGGCTGGCTGCTGGCTGAGCCTGGTGCACAAACATTGTCCAGAGATTTCCTTTTGCCCATCTTCTCTGTTGATCATCCTATTGCCTGGATTCACCTCATCTTCCTTCCTAGTTTTCACTCTATTTTTGCTGAAGCACATTCTCCAGTAGCTTCCTAAGAAATGAAAATTACCCCTGGCTGGTGTGGCTCAGTGGTTGAGTGCCGGCCTGCAAATTAAAGGGTTGCTGGATCCATTCCCACTTAGGGCACATGCTTGGGCCTGGGGCCAGGTCCCCAGCAGGGGGCGTGCCAGAGGCAACCACACCTTGGTATTTTTCTCCCCCTCTTCCTTCCCGTCTACAAAATAAAATCTTAAAAAAAAAGAAATGAAAATTACTTTGTGTGTGTGTGTTCTTGGAAGTCTGAAAATATTTTTGACCTCTTGTTAGCTTGTTTGGGTGTATAATTCCATGTTAGAATAACCTTCCCTGGGATTGAGCCTCCCCAGTACTACTGTTGATGAGTCTTGACTTCATTCTGATTCCTGTGCCTTTGTCTGGCTTGTTTTTTTTCACTCCTGATGCTTTTAAAGCCTCTTCTGCAATTGTATGATTTGGCACAGGGCTTTTCATTTATTATACTAGGCTCTAAAAATTGTGACCTTCAGTTTTTAGACTTTTAGTTATCAGGCAATGACCAGTCTCTCATTAAAGACCTCACCAATGTCAGTCTGTGCAGGTTTTTTTTCCTACTGGGGCCCTCAGGGCCTCTGGAGAAGACTTTCCTATTTTCCCAGGGAGGAGGAGGAGCAGAAGGAGGAGCAAGAGGAGGAGGAGCACGAGGAGGAGGAGGAGGGCTGATGAATACCTGGCTACTGGCATGTGGGGTGGGGTGGGGGAGGGCCTGGGGCTGCCACCATGAAGTGTGTAGGCTTCTATCCATCACTCAGCTTTCCACCCTGTATCTCCTCCCTGCCCTTAAAACTATGCCTGTGGTTAGTCCCTGAGTATGGAGGCCTCCAGAGTTCATTTTCCTTTCTCTTTATGCAACAAGAGAGTTTACCGTAGTTGTTTGGCTGTTGGGAGAGGAGCTCTGGGGTGGGGGCAAAGTGCTGTCCATACAGACTTCAGCCAATCCCTATGTTTAGCTCCATACCTCATTCCTGACCTTCTACGGTAACTAGTGCTTCAAACATTAATCCTCTTGGAAGTTAAACTGGGTGAACTGACTTGCTTCTTGTTGGTAATCTCCTCTTGTTGGCACTTAATTTGTTTCTTCTTAGGATGCTCCAAGCCAGATAACATTCCCCTACCTGCCTTCTAGCTTCTAAATATTTGTTGAACTTTCACCTGCTATTGTCTTGCTGCCTTATCCGAATTTTTGAAACTTAATGTTTTTATATTTCTTTAGTGTCAGGTCAGTGAGGTTTTGAGAGGTAGGGAGAGGTAAAATGTGGCAGCCATGTTCAATCGAGAGTGTTTAGCCCCTTATTATTTATTTTAATCCCAATTATTCTTCAAAGTAAGATATGATGAAAACTGAAAAAAAAAACCCATTAAATACAGTTTTTAAAAGAATTAAGCCCTGGCCAGGTAATTCAGTTGGTTAGTGCATCATCCCAATATGGCAAGGCTATGGGTTCAAATCCCAGTCAGGGCACATACAAGAATCAACTGGTGAATGCATAGTCAATAAATTGGGAAAAAAATGGAAAGGTTTGCTAGTTTATTGAAGGTCTCACAGCTAAAAAAAGGGGTGGCAATGAAAATTGAACTCAGATCTGTGTGTAATTCTAGTCCTGTTTCTCATCATGTAATCAAAAGCACTAATTCTGCTCTCCCCTGTGCTCCAAAATGTCACCAATAACCTCCGATTGCCAAACGCAGTGGTCAGCTCGCAGGGCCATCTTGCTTGACTGCGGATGGACTGTGGAAGACTCTCTTCTCAGAACTGCTTTCCTGACCCCAGTCTCTCCTGGTTCTACTCCTCACTCTGGATCCTCCTCAGACTCCTTTGCAATTCCTTTTCCCATTCTCGGTTTTCTTTTCATGCTTTGTAAATTCCTGGGTGATGTCCTTCACTCCCATCACTTCGAGTTGTATCTGTAGGCTTCACGACTCCCAAATCCACATCTCACTCAGCCTGGGACTGCCGTCTGAGGTGCAGGTCCCCGCAACTAAATAACTAGTGGATGTCTTCACTGGTATGTTTCCCACACTCTCCTAATCACTTAGTCCCCAGCTGAACTCACCGGGCCCTCACACCCGCTCCTTCCCCTGTGTTGGTCCTGTTTCACAGAGGAGCCATCTTTCATCTTTCATATCCCTCCTCCCTGCCTTCCTTGTCTGAACTGCTGCAGGGTTCTGCCAATAATACCTCCAAAATCTCCGAGACCAGTCTATTTACCTTCATCTCTACCGCTGCTATTTTCATGTACCCCCTCATCCCTCACATGGATTACTTCAACAGGCTCCTAAGTGATTACCCCATGGTAATCGCCACAGTGGTGGGAGAGCTAAAAGTGAAAATCTGACAGATTTCCCTGTTTAAAACTCTCCAGTTGTCCCCCACATTACCTTCAAAGTAAAGTTTCAAACATCTCAGCCCACAGAACTTTCAACT